TTGCAGCTGTAAGAAGACAGTGATTACTGTGGTTCACAGTAGGCAGGGTCTCTGTGCTGCACTGACTGATACAAATAAATAGAAAAACTGGCATTATGGACAAAGTCACTATAAATAAGTAAAAACTAACAAATTATACATTTTAACAGCAAAAAGATCCAGATTTTTCTCTTTTTTTGGGGTGGGGTGATGCTTACTTTTCAATCAATTCATAAGCTTTATTAAATAAAAGACTATAAAAGACTCGGTCTCCAGCTGGACCTTCTTATCCACTGAAACAAAGGAGACTCAAGCGGGACTGATTTTACTTCATGCAGCACAAGGAAGGATCCAGTCACTGACCTGGCTCAGAGCTTATCAGCAGAATGAGGGCTGCTTTATTTCCACCTACCTCTTTCTGCAGTTACTTTTTTTGGATCCTCACCTATTCTTTTTGCAGTCTGCTTAACTACTGCTTCAACTCAGTGACACTCAGAAGTTAATATATGTCAAATTAAGACATGTCATTAAGGTATTATTTACCCCCCAAAAAGCAGATTTATTTCTTTTCCATTATGGACTGTGCAGTATATGAAAATCGATCTAGTTCTTGTATATAAATACAGATCTCAGAAGTCATGCTTTAAAAGTTCCTTACACCTTGATAACAGGTATCAATCTTTACACCAAAACACTACAAGGACACCAGCAGAGGAATAAGCCACAAAACAGTGTTGAAGAGATTTAGGTCTCAGCTGAAACTGATCATAGGCCAACAGAAATGGAGCAATATGCTAGCAAGAAGGTTAAGTGGAAGGCAACACTGCACTTCTAGAGTGAGGTGACCATAGGCAGTGTTTTCAAAGCCAGGCTTTATGTAAACATTATTCACGCTTTGGGGTCTTGTATGTTCTGGCTGTAGGAACCAGGCCCTGTAGGAGGTTTTTTAGAGTTGTTTTTATGGGAGAAAAAAAAACTACCAATTCCAGGTCACTTCTTAGTGTGCCATAAACCTATGCCCAAAGGGCTTGGTTAAACTTGCTGCAATCAGTGGTGGTGCAAAACTATTCCATCCTCCCTTGGGTCACAACAGAAACAACGTCTAAAAGGCTTGATTAGTGGGGAGTTTCTGTGAACTCCCAACCTCACACATGCGCCAGCTACAGCATTGCAAAGGTTCCTCCTGGATTTTTTCCCACCTTTTTTTCCCACTTAGTAGCTGTACTCAATTCCACGTTCAAGGTTATCAAACATGCAAACATGCAGTGACACAAAATGTCTCAAAATGATGGAAAATTAGATCCTTGTAGCACCTTACTGTAAAGTGTAAGCTCACTTTATCAACCTGCTGAACGATTTGAAACAACAGATGATTTGGGTATATTTTGGGCAAATCAGGAGGTGATTAGGGGTAATAAATTTGTGCAGTTAAACAAAGCAATGCATTTGCAGTGAAGGTGAATTATGCCGGGAGATCACAAATCATAAATTGAGGGAAAACATTTCTATATTGTTATGCAGGAAAAATGATTCCACTACAGAAACAAAAGAAAAGTCCCAACATGAAGCCAAAGATGACCAAAAAAGAAATGAATAAAATAATACTCCTTTAGTTTCATTTTAATTTTTTAAATTTATGTGCATGATACATCAGTAAAGTATCATAGGCACTTTTGCAATATGCAGTCATTTATGATCGAAGTTTCTCTGATAATTTCCCTTAAGTCAATGTAACCTTTGTACAAGGTTTTGTGACAGTTTTGAAAACATGCAAAGCTGAAAGACTTGATACAATTGACAACATAAGTGGTACTAAGAACACCAAAGCATTTTACAGTTGTTATTCATGCTTAGGCAATGCTTAAACATCAGACTTACCAGCAGTGAAGTCCCTGTCGAGGTCAATGAAAGCATTGGAGTGAGGCGTACGCATGTTGCCAGTTAAACTCAGTGCTTTGCTGCACACTTCAGTCCTAAGAGAAGCCAAAGTTATAAAACAACCAAAGAATTTAAACACAACATAGAATTGAACTTCAGGTGTAACAGCACTAGAAATAAAGATAGAAAACTCTTAGTTTGGAAACTTTTCCATTACCTTTTGGTGAGATAGCAGACTACACTGGAGGAAGAGCTGATGACTCCAAAAACATCTGGAATCATGTCCCCATTAAAACTGTGAAAAGATTGTTTTTCTTTTAATGAAAACAACATTTCAGGAGAGACGGAGATCACCAAAGTAGTCATTTTGAAGGACTTCAATGATGAGGGAGGTAAAACATGAGGTAATGGTTGCTAATATATTGGAAAAGTTAGATACGATTTATTATTGAAAACTAAGACAAAAAAAACTCTGTAAAAACCAAGTTTGACTAAAAATGCACAAATGGAGCCAAAAATCGAAATCAAGCAAATTATTTAAAATTCAAAGCAATTCATGTAAATTTACACTGATACTTACTCCATGACAAGAGGTTGATCACTAAAGGTGTAATTCAGCTTAATCCCCCCTCCAATATCTACACAAAACGAAGAAGGTAAAAAGGCCTTCAGTATTAATGGTTTGACAAGAACACAGAACAGAAATCACTGGTTTTGCTTAACTGAAGTCAACAGCTACAAATTGCTAAAAATAGCTAGAGCTTGAAATATTCATTATGCAACGGTTTTTCTTGTATATATATTCTGCCTGTAGTTCAATAAAAAAGAATCCCTAAACAGAAAATATACACATAAAAAAGAAATAAATCTGAATAATCAGGTGATGAGCTTCTACTGGCATTGTATATTAAGCAAAAGTTGGTAACATGTGGAAAATGAGGTATCATTTTCATTGATCTAGTTAATGTTTATTGTTTTGGACTGAATGGTGATAGCCTATAAAAGAAAAAAAGGACAGCAGTTGCTAATAAAATTAACAATGTGTCTTTTAAATCACGGTTTCCCAGTGAGTCATGATATTGTGGCAGTGACCCTCCAAAAGGTCCTAAAAGTGAAACATCTATGCTTTCTTCACTGTAAATTACTGCAATACCAACTCTAAAACAGCAAATGGTAAGTTTGGCGGGCAATGCACACATTTTGTGATTTATGTTACATCATGTGTTGCAGCAATGATTGATTCACTAAGAATTATTGCATTGCAATAATATGCCTCCGTCAACTTGACTTATGTAATATAAGCAGTAAAATCTGTGGGGAAATTCATATGTGTGGATACAAAGTTTAGTATCACCAATGACAAATCTGAGCAAATGCATAATCTTGACAATGTTTTGCTTTTGTTGTAACAAGTGGATAGAGAGGCCAAGACTTTCTGTTCTCTCTACCAACCATTGTTTACAAATGCAATTTTAAAAAAAAATTAAAGTATCATCAGAGAGTAGAAACAGTTTTTGAGTTTCCATTTCAGCAAGCATTGATGGTTGTCGATCTCTATGTGTTAGTCCTGGGAGAGACTCGCGACTTGTCCAGGGTATGCCTTTTTCCTGTGACAACAGGGCAGCATTTGTAAATAAATCACTATTAGAGCTGTACCTAATGTCTGGTTGTGACCCCAAAAGATGAAAACTTCTGTTTTCGGGCCATTCTTAGCTGTGAGAAGGACATCCATCTGAGAGTCTCCATCATAATCTCCGGGAACCACACTGGTGATGTCTCTGAAACAGCAAGCAAAGTACTGAGTAAACATAATGCTGAAGTGCGAGTACGTTCAGTTTGTCAGCACTGAACATACTTACAAGCATAAATTAAGACCAGTGCCATAATAAAGCTAATGGAGTGAAATAACAAATATATATGCATACTTTCCCAAAATGTTTTTGGCTTGAACTTTGGGCTTGAAGTAAGGTGGTTTGGAGTCAGCCAAGAATATGACCAAATCAGACTCTGAAACAAAAAGAAGACAATATAAAGACGTGCAAAAAATTTTAGTTTTCTTTCTTTTCATTTTAGTTTTTTTTTTTTCCCAGTTCTTTTTGAATTTTCTTTGCGGGGAAACCCCGGTTTTTTTTATTAAAATTCCGGCAAACCCGGGTTATTTTTGTTCCGGGGTTGGTTTTTCCCCCCTCTGGCTGCTATGAGATGTTTAAACTTTGGTTTTAAAAATAGAGAAGCAAACCAAAGCTACATTGTAGCTCAATGTGTAGGTAAAAACGCATGTTATATACATTAATACATGTCAAATTACATTTTATATTAAATTGATTATATTTAGTGTTTTAACTCAATATACATAATTTGTGCAAACTGTTAATAAGAAGCCTTACTGACTGTTTGCTGTGTGAAGTGTGGATGAGTAAACCTACGTTCTTTGATCGTGAAGATGTCTGTCTGTTTATCCGAATTAAAATCTCCGAAAGCTGCCACCGTCCCAAAATTCCCGGGACCGAAAAGGTCGGCCGTTACATCTTGAAGAGCAAATGTGTTATACTGTCCCCCCAAAAGTAACAAAAACGCTAAAGTAATTAATTTAAGCGTCCAAATCATCTTCCTGTCAGTGTAGCTCCCAACAACAACACTGACTGTAATACGGCGCACTGCTTTACAGCAGAAGGAAATGGTAGCTGCTTTTTAAGTAATTACACATAACATTTAACGGCGTTAAGCATATGTCGTGCTCTTTTATTTCTAGTGGGAAAAGCTGCAAGTAACGTTTAGAAATAAAGATAAATAATATGACATTAGAATTTCCTTATTTACGTCAGTGTCGTGCTCCCCGAGCTATTTCACAGCTATCAATTTACTGAGAGTTACTTAGAAACAAACCGGAAACGAAGAAAACTTGTGTTCATAATAAATCTGAGACATATATTAACTATTAAAATGAGTGTGTTAATAAAAATAAATTCAATATCTTAACACGCAAAAGATACTTTGTGGAAACACTCGGGCTTTATTTACCAGTAAGCCACGGCAGAATTTAGCCTTACGATTTCTTACCCTATGCTGAGAAGCCAGATTCGCGTTTTATTTTGAAAGAAGCTACCGGATACACCTTAGCTTTGTAGCTATTTTAACATTTTCATAAACATGGCGAGCTTAGCAGATGTCGGCTGGAAACTCTTGGAATTTAAAGCCCGTTCAAAGCGATCAGGTCTGACATAACTTTGCATGATCTTCTGCATTGTGACACGCCCGCTTTTTCTGTTGTGCTTGCAGTGCCTCTGTACGTAGTGCCTCTGTTCTGCCCGTTTTAATGTGTCTACTGCACTGTTGGTAGAAGCATGAAAGGTCAG